TTACTTATACGTATTATTTTCGTTATTACTAACCTAACTACTCTCGTCGCACTATTAGTTTATTTACTTACTTACTACTATACTATATATATATAGTTCTACTATTATTATTATATATATATATATATATGTATATGTATGTATGTATGTATATATATATATATATATATATATATATATATGCATGTGTGTATGTTAGTATGTATGTATGTATATATGTATGTATTTATTTATGTATATATATATAGATATATAAATTCATACATGCGTATGTATGTATTAATATGAGTATGCAACGATATACACATATACATATCTGTGTACATGGACACATAAGATTTTATATCGGTGTATTATCATGCACATATTTGGTGCGTATGTACATGTATGGGAAAACCTATCCATCGATACATTTGATAAAACGTATCCAAATACTATTTTTTTTCTGTGCCCATCTGTTTGTATTAGTACATTTGTTTAGAGGTTGGCTTCACTGTCTTTGGCATCACTGCAATAGTAGCAGGATCCAATCCTTCGTCATTTTTATAACAGGCTAATTGTCAGACATACCGTGGTCAAGGATACTATACTTGCCTACTCATTCGCACTTTGTTTCGATCGCCATTTGCGCTACAAACAGGAATTATCTGGATTGTAAGCGTATATGCTGCTAGCATTCAACGCTGACCTAAACTTTTTACCACAATGTCACATACGCAAACAACCAGGTTCTAATTTAAAAATGGGTATTTGGGACGAGGACGATGGTGGCTTGGCCCAGGAGGACTTCTATGCGCTGTTCAATCTGCAGCGAGATGCGACCGCAGAGGAGATCAAGAGCGCCTACCGACGACTGTGTGTGATCTACCACCCAGACAAGCACCAGAACGACAACGACCGAGAAGGTACTATTCGCTTGGGCAGCATCAGCATCAGCATATCGGTTGTGCTTAACGCAATAGTACATTGACCTTGTTTACGGTGTGTGCTCGTTGTGCTCTACACAGAGGGTGTGAAAGGTTCTCGTGTAACCCGATTGTTTCCTCTCTCCGTTCACCAGCCGCAGCACAGATGTTCGCTCGCATTACGAACGCCTACGAAGTGTTGACAGACACAAACCAGCGGGCTGTGTATGACATCTATGGCCAAAAGGGCCTAGACGCGGGCATGGAAGTGGTGCTACGACAGGCATCGCCCAATGAGGTATGCACCTGTTTCCAAATGTGCTCATAGATAAATGTTTGTCTATGGGCATGATATGTATTTAGGTATGAATTTATGCTTGTATATTTATGAGTACTGGCATCAATCGATGCTTTGTATAGTCGTGTTTTATATTGCGCCAAATGCTGTGGGAGTGTGCTTGTTTGAGCATTTTTTTGTTGAGTATGGCGAGCGCAATGTATCTTGTCCGTATGGTGAGGTTCGCGAGTTCCTGGTATAGATATATATATTAAACAGCTTATTGATATATTTTATTAAACAGCTTATTCTTTCTCGCAGAGGTTCGAACCGCTCAATTCTGCCTTTCCGTACTTTTACGAATTGTTAGCATGCTGTTGCCCTTGTGAGTTTCTGTACTCGCTCCTGGTGTGCCCTGGTGCTTTGTATTGGAAAACACACTTTTTCCTATAGCGGTTTGTATCAATCTGATTTAGTTTCTTCTGATATACTCTAGATCCGCGAAGAATACGAACGTCTGAGAAAGATCCGACAAGAAGAAGAACTGAGGAGGCGCACCAATGAAAAGTCCGTGATTACTGTGGCAGTAGATGCCACCCCCCTCTTCGATTCCAAGTACAGTAAAGGTATGCTATACGTAGGTTGAATGTGTTTCTAACTTGTTGAAAGTAAACGGTGCAAAACGGCTGTGCGTGGATGCGGCCTATTGGTTCATTCCCATGCACCGTTCAAGAAACCGGCACACAAAGATATGATCACATGTGATGGATCCGATGTCAGAAACGGTAGAAATGAGCATCTATCATAAGTATTGCTGGGATCGGCCGTATTTCGAAACTGGGCCAATTCGTTCGCACTGCACGGACTATCTGATGCGATGCCACTAGCAAGTAAGCAAGATAGTACCAGTGACACGCTAGAGTCGAATGCAGTGTTTCACATTACCTGCTCCATTTCATATGAGAGTCCAGCTTGCACACGGGGGAGTGAATCGCGGATGGTGGGGTTTTTGATGTGGAGATTCGTTCGTCTGTGTTTTATGTATTGATGTTCAATGGTAATTGCCTGTCTCGTGTTTTAGTTGGGTGCCGGCAAGTACTCGGCGTATTCTGAGTGGCTGTCGTCTCACAGAACGTAATCAACCCTCATCCTGTGCGCTCAGAATTCGATTAGATGTCACCAAAGAAGACTCGCTCTTCATCCACTACATCCGTGTTGTCACGCATATCCTGTATTTGAGTACCTTAGACTTCAGATCACGCTCGTCTTGCTTTGTCCTGCTTTGGCCTGAGTATGCAGGTCAGGTTTTATCTCTTTGCTTGGTCTCATGTATCTACACCCATATCGCTTCACAGAGAGTGACTCATTGACGGACAAGCTTTCAGATGTTGAGTTGGGAGCTATCAGTATGCAAGGGACTTTGCTCGCACCCGTTGGTATGTCTAAGCTGCTATTCGTATTCTATATATATTAACATATATATATATATGTGTGTGTGTGTGTGTGTGTGTGTATGTATATGTATATATGTATATGTATCTATATATATATTTATATATATATATATAAAGCAGGCATCATACAGTAGTATTTTTCTGCGTATCCCGGGGTTTTTGCGCTTTTAAATAACACTCGTCCAGGCACTCGTCGTGTTTTTCTTTCCTTGTACCCACGTATTGCATTTAAATGCGGCAGAAAGGAAATTCAAATGTATATTGGTGCAGCTCTTATCACGCCGCCTTTGTGCCTGCGTGTCCAGAAGCAGTCACATGCACGCCTGTGCCCTATGTGTTCTAACGGTACCGTTGTCCTATTAGCTTATCGTCGTACGTCGGCTTATATCATTCCTAGTCGTTGTTTATGTTGCTAGTGTAACATCAATTTATCCATGCGGACGTTTGACTGACCAAGCTGCTGTCTAAGTCTTGCACTTGGCGCTATAGCCACTGCATCAACATCTTGGCCAAGAGCGTAGTTGCCGTGTACTGTTAGCGAACTCTGAGCCCAACCCACTACTCATATGGAATCTTGCAGAACACATCGCGTACTCATACATCAACATTATCCTCAAGGCACATCTGCATGTGATTTACCTTCCTCTTCGTTCATTTGTTATTCACCGACACGATGTGTGTCGTCTCCTCACACACCACACACCTAACCGCCTATCCTGTTTTTTTGTTTTTTTTTTGGTCGCCTGGCTTTGGCTTTGACACGACTGATGCTACACGCTCGTAGGTAATGACACGGCAAACTTGACAGTCAATGTCTCGTCATACAACGGCAATGGCGCGGGCACCTTTGTGGGTGCCTATAGACATGAGGCATCTCATGGCTTTTGGTTGCAGGTGTGTGTGTGTGTGCTGATATGCTCTTGTGCTGTGTGATATTTTCGTGGTTCTGGTGGCAAGAATGTGGTTTTACAGTGCACTCTCCCGTGTGGTTGCTTGCAGGCGAAGGATTGAGGTTGTATAGGGTAGTGTGTGTTCGTGTGTATGTATTCTATTGTATATATCTGTGTTTTTGTATGCACGTGTATGACTGTGCTTTTGTATTTTCTGTATTACGGTAGACATGCCACAATGCATTGCCCGCATTTTGTATAGCAGACGGTAGCGTTGTGTATATTCATGTCAGTGTATCAGTGGTGTTCGCAGCTTTGACCTGGCTGCCAGATAATATCGATAAATTGCACCGCACAACAGGCATGTTGATCCTGCAACGAGTTTACACATATATCTCAGTATACGAACACTTGTACATAGAGTATATATATGAGAGTATATAAACCGAGTCGCTCGATAGTATGTACATCAGGGCGAATCCCCGGCTGCTTCTGACCGGCAGATATCAACCAGTATGATAGGCTTCGCACAGAATTATGCGCCTACATATACAACTATACACCCAAACCCATGAACGAATATATACCTTTGTGTGCTAAATCAGGACTTTAACCGATAGATTATTGTTTTGGTTTTGTTGTAGGGTGAAACACAGGTGGCTCCTGGATGGCAGATGCTGACTGGCACTATTGGGCGCCGATATAGTCAAGCCATCTTCGCTACGCTCTCCGGAACTCTAGATTGCAGGCCGAAGGGTATGCTTATATGACAGCATGCAACTGTAGTTGTTTCGTCAATCTCTATGTATATGTGTGCCTGTACCTGTTATAGGTGTATATAAGTTTATGTTTTCTCTTGATTTTTTTGCTGATGGAGATACGGAATTAAAATGGCTTATATGTAAACAGTAATGATATTGATAAATGTAGCCAACGTATCGACTGAACGGTTTCTTGTAACGGAAAACATAAATACAAATTAGCATGACGGGGAATCTAGGGTACAAGTCTATACATCTTTGTATACAGCCTCTTCATATTTACCGGACTTGTGAAGATTATATTCGGCGCCTAGTTTCCTTACTTCCGAACAGAGTAACATGACTGTCCTAGGAGTGTTAGCTCTGTTGGGCATCGAAAGTACACGGGTGGCCCTCGCCCACAAACCTATGTATACACCATGTTCTCACAGAGATATATCCTCTGCATCCTACACCTTAAAACTCCAAACCCCTAAAATATATACCCCATATGCCTACAGACGTACTTACAAACCATACGTATATTCATGTGTTTGTAAATATCCAACTTCTCACAACTACAATTTTAATACATGTTCCAGGTATGATTCCAGGATTGCGGGCCATGGTGGGTATGGAGATTGAGCCAAACACAATGGGGTATCTGACGTATAAGGCTGGAAAGTCCAGTGCTATGAGTACCACCATTAGCAAACACTACGAGAACGGCACGG